ATTAAAAAACAATACTTATATAAATCAACAAGGTTTAATACACTTTTATGGAATTATTATGTCTCATATATAATTAATTAGTTTATCATTTGTGTCTTAGGATTTCAAAAAACGTATGACATTTCTAATGCGAACATCGTGCAGTTTTCACATCTTACAAATACTCAAATATAATGTTCACGTTAAAAAAATTAATTTTCAACCATTGTCCATTTTTTACAGAAAATATTAATGAAAAACATTAACGCTATATATGAGTATTTTTGAGATGTGAAAAGTGCACGATGTTTGCTATAGAAAATGTCATACGTTTTTTGAAATCCTAAGACACATTTATATTTTCAAAACTTTTAATATAATAATTCAAATATACGTTCCGTTTTGTTATAACAGATTTATATACCAGATGTCATTAAAGCAAGATTAAATGCAAATAATATATAACGCGATACTTTTTTTATAAATAAAATATCCTGCTCAAATAGGGTGACTCGTGTTAATTGTTTAGAATTTATTTTGCCCATTATAAATTCTATAACCAAACTATATTTAGACTTAATTTGTGATTGTCGTAGGTGAAAATTATAAAATATAAACACACCAAATACTGATGCTAGTATAAACATTATTGAATTATAGTCGTGAATACCACCAATGAATTCAGGTAAATCATATAATATGAGCCTGGTAGCATAGTCTGTGTTTATACAATAAATAATTTTACACGCGTGTAATATGTAACAAACCAATACTAAATAGTCTATAAATGAATTTTGTTTACTACCACGTGATTTATCAGCAATATCATTTAAATAGTAAACAATTATTATGTTTATAATGTTGAAATAATTTGCTGCTTTTTGTCTTGGTATCATTTTGTAATAAAACTTTTTTATTATTTACATTTATTATTGTTATATTATATTTTTGGCAATATACTTTAAGTGCAATAATAACTTTATAAACTAATACACTACATTTATGCAATACAATAATGTACACTAAAATAATATACAATAATGTAATGTACTTATATAATATAAAAATATTACGTTATAAATCATGAATAAATATCTAATGTATTGATTCCCAATAATGTATTTTGAATTAGGTCAAATTTTAATTGAATAATTATGNGGTATGTGGCATTAAAATATAATTACACTTTAACAAATAATTGCTATTTAATAAATTGTGTTATATGCCGGCATTGAATTAAATACCATACTTGCCATTCAAAAGTAAAAGAGTTCAGAAGTTCAATGGTTACATACGCTTTGGAATGACCCCCCTCCCCCTAGGCGTGCGTATGTACTTTGTGGATCACGCCTAAGTGCATTTTCACCAAACCCTCCCCCTATTTATTAAATTTTAATGTTTTTATTTATGTTTTCCTCAAATATACATGGACAACTTTTACGATCAACTTTTAATTGCTTACTCAGTAGGGAACATCGAGGCACGAATCTCGATTAAGCAGTTCTAATTGTTATGATTAGTTAGCCAGTAACACAATTAACATCTTGAATTGACTAAGCTTGGCGAATCAATTAAACTAGCTTGCGAAATTCACGTTAAATATCGCTGACATCCTCATTTCGTCATTGAAATTTAGTTGTATAAAATGTTATACTATTATTTTGTGTACATATATCGGTAATTATTGCTAAAATTATCTTTTGTTTACTGGCATAAAGCAGTCTCATACAATTACACAATTCAACTTATGTACAATCCATAAAACTTACGTTATATCAATGACAAAATGAGGATGTCAGCGATAGTTAAACATAAATTTAGCAAGCTAGTTTACTTGATTCGCCAAGTTTAGTCAATTCAAAATGTTAATTGTGTTACTGGCTAACTAATCATAACAATTAGAACCACTTAATCGAGATTCGTGCCTCGATGTTCTCTACTCAGTTCTTGTAACAATTTCTTAGTGTTTGTAGAAATACATTGAAAAACACATTTTCCACTCAAATTCAGTCTAAATATGAATTCAAACATAAGTTTAATGAAATATTTGTCGAAAGTCTTTATTAGCCTTATTGCAGATTAAGATTCAATCTATTTATTTGAATCAAATCTTTAGTAAGCATTATAAAATCTCTTAATGAAACCAATATTATGTACCTTGACTACTACTGAACCCATTCCCCCAAATAACTTATGCTTTTATACGCTTTTGACTTGAAACCCCTCCCCACCCCGTGCTTACCTACTTATTGAATGGTCCCTAAATAATGTTAACATATACAGTTCAATAAAAACAAAAATGTTTGTAGATAGTTGTATAGTATTATTGTAAGATATTATTCATTATGTCTTTAGATTGTTATCCGGTTTATGCGCTATTTCATCTTGGTCTACAAATTTGCAAACAAATTAAAATAAAATTAAAACTTTGGAACTTATTAATTTAATATATAATTTTTGAGTACTGTATTATGTGTTTATTAAATATTTTTGTTTATTTTAAATAAGTAAAGTGGTAAATATAATTACGTTGGTATAATCTTTATAAAAATAATAGGCTAACAAGTAAATGTTGTAAACCTTTTTATTTTTTAATATTTTAGATGTTAGAATAGTAAACATAATAATATACAATTAAAATTACAATAAAAATTATATGTATTAATTATAACTCCACCATTGATTCAAGCAAGTTTTAGGTTAATTTTGAAACGGCTTTAGTTAAAACTAAAACAAAAATATAGTTTTTCCAAATTTTCAATGTATTTAAGTTCTCAAACGGACAGACACCTAACTACAGGGGACAGGTAACTAGATATATTTATGCTCTAGCTCAAAAACTATAAGTCGTAGAGTGATTCTAAGCACACTGTTGGAAAGATCGCAAAATTTTACGTATACATGGTATTAATGGTTTGCCTACAAACGGAATGGTTTTTGCCCAGGGTGGCCGGGTATATCGTCTAATATGATGTTTAAACAATTTTTAAAAATAAATTAATAGGAATATTTAAAAGTTATGATATGGAAAATTGTCCAGGTAAGAATTGGAAATAATGTACTAGTTTAATATTTATCATAAATCTGATGGAAGCAATCCCAGACATAATAATGTAATAAATAATGTATTATATTTGTTATGAATTATTTGTAATTACTTTATTTTATTTCAAATTTTAATTTTTCACCAGGTTCCATGTTCGACAAATTAATTTCATAATATTATAGTATAAAATTATTTAAATA